ATAGTGTAGATGACAAATCTATGAAAACTTGAAAATCTTGAAAATTAATGGTCCAAAAATGCATTACAAAATATATTATTTTCAAAACTTGAAATCCATTTTTTTCTCATGTACATACATCTTGATGTTGAGATGATCAATTTGAGGATATTTGGCCATCAAAATAACCCTTTCTAATGAAATTTTTGAAGTAGGCTCTAATTTGATTGTTTAGAGCCTCAGCTCTGCATAAACTTTTCCCAAATTTTTATAACCACTTTATATCCAAGATTTTTCTCCTCAAAAAATTTAAAATTTGAGTTTTCTAATGCTTAAGATCTCACCTTTTAAAAGTTGGACAGTTATTAATGGTAGGCGGTTTGTTTGAGGGAGTAAATGGACGGTATACTCCCAAAGGAGTAGAATATCTTTTGGCTTAGTTCAAATGGGAATATTAGAGGGAAATTAAATATGGAAATTTGTCTCATGCAGGCTAGACTGCATTTCTACATATGTTGTCCAAAGTGTAAAGCATCCATTTTAAAGATGGATGCAAGTAGATGGTCTATCTAAAAACAATGGAAACTAAGGGTCCAAATGTTTTTTAATAAAATTATTATTTCTAATTTTTAAAATTTATTTATTTTTTCATATTCATGATATCCATATTAGAGATTACGTGTCCTTAAAAATTCAATCCAAAAATTCATCTAAAAATTAAGAGGTGCTGCATTTCTACATGTGCGGGCTTGTCCCGCATGCTAACCGCATCCATTAAAGATTGGACACTGTTTCTATGAGTCTACAGAGTCACATATAGAAATGCATGCTCCTTAATGAGTTATTTTTGAAATAGAATTTGATCCCAAAATTTAAAGAATATGTAATCTTTAACATGGAGATTATTAATCAGTAAAAATAAATAAATTTAAAACATTTAAAATAATATTTTTAGAGAAAATATGCGAATAGTTGATTTTAATTTTTTTTGGAGGACTATTATTTACGAGACCCAATTTTGGTGGATGGTGTAGATCTCCAACCACACATAGTAATAAGTGCCGGCTTGGACGAACCAAACAATGTTCCTAAAAGATTTCCATAGGAGTTAAGGTTCTTGGTGAGTTAGGCGTTGATTTGATATTCTTACAAAGATTAAACACTTGGTAGCTATGCTCGATGTTCCTGATACAGTCCACTTTAGGTTGTTAAGATATGAATATCTCGGTTCATATTGATATACATCATTATGGATGTAGGGATATATATCTCTTGATAAGGGTAGGTATCTAGAAGATAGAGACTAAGTTACTTAGTCATCAAGTTATCATATCATAATTATCTCCTCTAATTGTGTGATTGTCCTCTATATATAAAGCTACTTATTGATGTAAACATTCATCCAAAATAGTAAAGATGTAACCAGTTGGGCTTTGGATCCGTAGACGTAAGGCTTCGGCATGAACCATGTAAATGTTGTGTGCTCTCTTCTTCTCTCTTCATTCTCCTCTCCATTCAATTTCTGTGCATGTATACTACCATGAATTCTAACATGGTATCATAGCTATTCTTTCCTTCCTCGGAGGTAGACGTCCCATTCCTTCCTTCCGTGGAGGCCGCTGTCAGATCTCCCTCTTTTTAGAAAGAGAGGGGTAGATGGCAGACGCCAATATGGTCTCTTTTGTCACCTTTTGAAATACCTAGGGCTTCGATTTGTCACCTCTTTTATTGCAAAAAAAGGCACCAGCGGCTAAGGCAGGAAACGACCAACAACAGACTGAAATAGGAGTCTCGTCGTAACACATACCTGTCTACCATTGGGAAGCAAGCCATGGGCATTTATGTGACCAATTACCAGCTTCGAATGGATACTTTGGCGTATGTTCTTTACTATCCTCGGAAGCCCCTCGTTAATGTTATAACACATGTAATGGAACACCTGCACTTTAGGTAGCTGCTTGCTGGAATTAATGCAATTGTTGTAATTTCATGTTATTTAGGATGCAACCAAGAAGATTCTGTTATTAATGAATCGGTCTTCAATATATCAAGGATTTTTCCAATCATTACTTTTCAGTTCATACAGAGATGAAGAGAAGAAGTTCTTGCTCCCAGTTGGGTTGTTAGAGAGAAGAAAAATAAAAGCCCGTCCCTCCTTGTATTGGTGCTATGTAGAGAGCGAGAGAGAGAGAGAGAGAGAGAGAGAGAGAGAGAGAGAGAGAGAGAGAGAGAGAGTAGTAGAAGAAGGAAGAAAGTAAAAAGTAAAAAAGTTAAAGTTTAAGTTTAAGTTAGTAGTAGTGTGTAGTGTAGTACGTACGTACTACTTACTTATTTAGTTTTATTTTTATTTATTAGTTATTAGTTACGTAAACTAAAAGTAAAAAAGTTA